CCGGGACCTACTCAGTACCCGCCGGACCCGGGTACCCGAGTTACCCGTCCCAGCCCTACTATTACCGCGAGTAAAACCGGCTCTGGAAAACTGGAGCTGTTAGTGAAGACCTATTATACCCTGGATCTTCAAGGGTCTTCTGTCAAAAGAGAGCAGTATATGCATTAACCTTTAGCCTGCTGAATTATTTTCACACTTCTTACCCCTGCCTGCTGGATTAATTTTAGCATAAGGCGCTCTAAAGAGGGTGGGTGATTTCAAACAGTCGGTGCCTCATTAAACAATGGCCAATTGAAGAAATATTTTGCACATTTATTCCTGATAGAAAACTACACAATTCTATATAAAAATATCCTGGTGTTTTCAATTATACCAAAGTTTAAACCAAAACGAACACAAAATTTGTAAATTTTCTTGAACTTACCTGAATTGCGTTATTGAAGGTGGTTTGCATTTCATGCTAGGAACCTTTTAATATCGTAACATTTTTGCAAATTGATTTCAATAATCATATCTCCGATATCTTAATTTTAATTGAGTAAAAATTCGGGTTTTATAATCGGCACATATCAGCGCGATGGTAAATTATGAACCATTTCAGTGAATTTATTATCTAAACGTTAAACAGAAAAATAACTTAATTTTCGAGGTCATCATGTCGGTTGCAGAAATACGAATATTCGGGTAAATCTGACGTGTCATGTTATAAAATTTGCAGGAAACAATTAATGACTTATAAATATTCACTAATCCTAATTTCAAGCGTTTTGGTTGAATATTTACGATATACAAAAATAAACAACCCGTGTCATGATGCTAGCAGACGTCCTAAAATCAAACATGGCGCGCTTCGCCCGACCTCCGCATAACTTATTGCTATTTTAATATCAACAAAGTTTACATTGCCTTTATAAATATAACTTAACGAAAGTTGACGATCTTCTCAATCGAAGAATGTTTTATTCGTCATATTCCAATAAATATGACGAGAGAAAAATGAAAATAAAGATCGTGAATTCTGACAGCACTATTTCAATAAGTGCAAAGGTCACCGGATGTGATGTCACAGACAGGGGTAGTCTGCTGATAAGCTTTCGAAACAAAACAATTACAGTAAATTTTGAAATAGTTCGCCTATCACATACAGCAAAAATATAAGTCGATACACAGTATCAGTAATCACCACTAACATGAAATAAAAATGTGACTTTGACGATATAATTCGCGTATTAGTTAATCCGTTTGACCTTGCATGCTCCCGTGACCCGGAAACGGTAGACGATAAATCAACATGCCACATGCAAGTTTCTCGGTATCTTTTATTTGAACTTCTGTTGATATTTAAAAAATCACCATTCAATGTTGTGAATATAAATGGGACATGATTCATATTTCTGCGATGTACATGCTGATAAGTTTCACTACAACAAGTGTATCCCACGCAATACGTCTATGGATATCGTCGATCAGCAAGATCACCCTCAACAACAGGTGCGCGAAAATGGGCTTGACAAAACTTGTTTCAAAATTACATCCCCGCGTTGCCGAATATGATAGGGTATATATAAGCAATAAAATGCTACGTACATATTTTCGGTGTTAGTTCCACATTACATTTAGGATAGTTTTCCTTTCGGGAATACATTCATAGATTCTAGCATGATTTTAGAACAGTTTCACGAAGGATTTCTAAATTTATTCCAAAAATATGAAGACCACCATGATTGCGCATTGATGATAGATTTGTAATTGTTTAATTATTTACAGCTGTTTACAGGTTTTAAAATTTTAAGTTATATTTAATAGTTATTTTTCCCACAATGATGGTGTGTGGGGACAGTGCATCAGCACAGTGTAACTGATCAAACTTCAATTATTATCTTTAGTTTAAACATATTTATACAACAATTATTATCTTGCACTCTGAAAATCAACTATGTGAATAAGTAACTCTCTGATGTCATCATTTTAATTTTAGTATTCCATGAATAATGAATAAATCAGATCCTTAACATATACATACTAAACTCATATGGACATTAATCTTGTGCATTATGTGGTTTGTTTCCAAATAAAACAATTCTGAAATATAATTTAATAGGAATTAATTTAATTTAATTACAGTAACAGTACTTGTAACAGTACATGACATTTTTGTTTGTTTAATCACAAGAACCATGGTGGCACATGAGCTGGTAAGTTTGCCATAGGTTTCTTAGAAAATGCTATCTCAGTCTTCTGGTTGGAATGAAAAGAAACATGCCTGTGTACATGTTTACCCTTGCCAGATGTATTTTTTCCAGTCAGCCAATCCATTACTTTTGTTCACCTTATGTGGTCTATTTTATACATACAGGTACTGCTTCCAACCTGTTTTTTCTTTGTATGCAATCACAGTATCACAACTTCCTCAGCTGGTGTGTATAAAAGTTCCCCTGTCATCATGAAAAAAGAATTATAAAGGAAAGTCATATTTTCATTCAAAACATATCTGTCTTTCCTTGAATACTCTTTGTCTAAGTGCCAGAAATGTCAGTGTCATAAAAAAAATTAAAAAAGATTTTCATAAGGACTTTTCTTAGATAGACCTAGATCTAAGTCAAACCATGTGACTAGTTAGGTAGAATTATAACCTTATAAGCCCTCATTTCTGAGGTGTCCATATTTTTCACCTTTTTAGGACTAAATGTGATCCGTGTAGATCTGCCTGTTTTGTTATGTAAAACAAATTCTTGTCTTAAAAAAATGAGAAAAGGAATCATTCATACGAAAAAATTTTATCCCATTGATTCACGAAAATCAGTTGAAATGTACAGTGGTGACTTTTGTACCCAAAATTTCTAGTAATTTGTTACCCAAATGGGTATGTGATTTTGTAGATCTACCTAGAATTATTTCAAAGATATACATTAATTTGGTGTCTTAAACTTAACATAATATCACTTTCCTATCAAAACAATTCATTCTTACTTTAACCAAAATAACTGGCCTCTCCTTCTGTGACAAGACGTCAATTTTCTCTCAAAACTAAACAATCAATTTCAAGGATCACAGTCATAATCATATTTGGAACTTGATGAAATATTTTATTATGTGTTCTGTTCATCTACATGAAAACATAAATATAATTATAGATTATTGTCTTATTTTCTTAGGTACAAATGCACAAAGTATTTTGGGTACAATTTAATTTGTTTTGGGTACAAAATCACATATATATATATATAAATAGGAGCCTAGAATCTATATATATTTACACCTCGTTGTGTACCAAAATGTTATCGGTTCAGAGGACGGGAGGTTCTCAGAAAGTTTTCAACAACATCTTTAATATTTAAATTGTTCTTTTTGTAATGTTAGACCAATAACAATATTATGTTATTATTATGGCATATCAATACGTTGTATCGCTCTCCGTTGCGTTCGTTTTTAGAAAATATTTTAAAATTAAAATCATCGAGCGTGAAATCCATTACGGTTTCGGATTTAGACTTACACATTTGATGGCGACAATCACGAAGAAATATGAAACAAATAGGAGTGAAGATTGCTCTCCATATCAATAAATAGTAAATTATGTATTTTCTTTTGAATTTGAATCTATTTCGGAATTTCTTTATGATAGCTTACCAACTTTTGAGTATTTTGCTTCCATGTGTCACATGCGGTACGTGCTTCCGGTTTCAGAAATGATAGCTAAAATTGCAAGTATTTTGATTATTTCTCGTAAAATGCATTATTTTGCTATTGAATGGTTTACCTAGAATGTATATCAGTTCAGATTTTGCGTTTCATTCAATATTTGTCATTTTTCGCAGTGTGTGTTGACTTTGTTCAACTCAACAAATCTCGAGTTAGGCCACGCCCAAACGTATCACTGACGTTTGTCGGCTTGTCAATGTGTCGGAAAGTTTATCAAACGAAATCATTTGCAAACTCTTTAAAAATGAAATTCTTTTTACAAAGATTTATACATACGTGTCAATAATTCTAGAAAATTAAGTTAGATGTAACAAAATGATTGTAATAGTCTAACGGGATAACTATGCATGTGGAGTTGTTTGTTTACCGCCGTTGCCATGATCGTACAAGTTCCATCCAATCGATGATGTTACGATTCAGATTGTTTTTGTTTACAATTAGTTACACCGAAAGTTGCTAATTTTTAGAAATAAAGGAACATGGGTGTTTTCCTTTCGTCAGCAAACAAAAAATTATGATCGAATAGGAAAAATGATGAAATTATAAAGAAAATATCGGACTGCATGCCGCTCAACGTGAAGTGCCAAAAGTCAACAATGGCCGTTTCTGGTAGTTGTGTGCCGAGAAGTTTGGCCGAAACATTTTAAACTCGCGATATTTTCTTTTTGAGGTAAATAAATGACTGAACATTTGATATTGAGCAAGCTGAGCATTTATGCATGTCATACGTAATTTAAATGTTACGCAAAGCCTTCTCGGTAAATAGATATGGCGAGTTTTATTTTGGGGTGTTGTTATGCTATTCGCCTGTCGAATGGGTTCGACATCAGATGCACGGGGATGGACACCTCTGTCGAATGGGTTCGACGTTAGCGTGCAGAGCTTTAAGGAATAATGCAGGATAAGTTACAAATTTAATTTTTATTTGCACCAGGTGCATGCTGACATGAAAACCTAGTTGCACCACATTTGGTATTGCACTCTTGCCCAATATATTTATCAAAGATGAAACAGATGCATAAACTGAGTAAGTACATCTCATGTCTCTGATGATTTTCCTGATTTTACATAAATATTGCTGTAAAACATAATAAGATGTGCACATAAGTACCCACAGTTTGATGATGTCAAGCCCAAGAAGGGATGACAAATTACACATAACCCAGGGATTAATGATGGAGTATGGTCCATAAGGCTTAGAAGTATTCACTGTGTTCAAAGATCGTTGTTGTGTGGAAAAGTAAGGGTTAGTTAGACACAAATTGATTTTCAATAATAGGTTGCACTGGTGCATCTTTTATGTAGCTAGATTGAGCTCTGTACTGTGAATCCTCATATGTGACTGCAGGTGAACAGATTGTGTAAACCCTTTTCCACATTCACCACATTGATAACGCTTGACTCCACTGTGAATACGCATGTGTGACTTTAGGCTATTTGACTGCGTAAATCCTTTCTCACATTCAACACACTGATAAGGCTTGAGTCCACTGTGAATCCTAGTGTGTTTCTGCAGATCACTCGTCCGTTTAAATCCTTTCCCACATTCACCACACTGATAAGGCTTGGCTCCACTGTGAATTCTCATGTGAGACTTAAGGCTATTTGAATGTATAAATGCTTTCCCACATTCAACACACTGATAAGGCTTGACTCCACTGTGAATCCTTATGTGTGAGTGCAGGCCACTTGACTGTTTAAATCCTTTTCCACATTCAACACACTGATAAGGCTTGACTCCACTGTGAATCCGCATGTGTGTCTGAAGATCACCTGATTGTGTGAATCCTTTCCCACATTCAACACACTGATAAGGCTTGAGTCCACTGTGAATCCTTGTGTGTTTCTGCAGATCACCTGACCGCTTAAATCCTTTCCCACATTCAACACACTGATAAGGCTTGACTCCACTGTGAATCCTCATGTGTGACTTAAGGCTATTTGAGTGTATAAATGCTTTCCCACATTCAGCACACTGATAAGGCTTCAATCCACTGTGAATCCTCATGTGTGCTTGCAAGCCACTTGACTGTTTAAATCCTTTCCCACATTCAGCACACTGATAAGGCTTCACTTCACTGTGAATCCTCATGTGTGTCTGCAAGACACCAGACTGTGCAAATCCTTTCCCACATTCAACACACTGATAAGGCTTGATTCCACTGTGAATCCTAGTATGTTTCTGCAGGTCTCCTGAACGTTTAAATCCTTTCCCACATTCAACACACTGATACGGCCTGATTCCACTGTGAATCTTCATGTGTTTATGCAGGTTAGTTGAAAGCGTAAATGCTTTCCCACATTCACCACACTTATAAGGCTTGACTCCACCGTGAATCCTCATGTGTGTCTGCAGAGTACCTGCTTTATTAAATGTTTTCTCACACACACTACACTTGTGAGACTGCTTTGCTGGACAACTGCGATCTGTCTTGAGATCACCTCTTTCCGGCAATTCTCTCTCACAGTGAGTTTCTCCCCCTATATCAGAAATTGAATGGTTCTTGGGATCTCCTGTTTCCAACAATTCCCTCTCACAGTCAGTGATTCCACCTGTATCAGTAACAGGTTCTTTCTTGAGATTACCTGATTCCATCAACTCTCTCTCACAGTGAGTGTCTCCCCCTATATCAGTAATAGAATGGTTCTTGGGATCACCTGTTTCCAACAATTCCCTCTCACAGTCAGTAATTCCACCTGTATCAGTAACACGTTCTTTCTTGAGATCACCTGTTTCCAGCAATTCTCTCTCACAGTTAGTGATTCCACCTATATCAGTAACACGTTCTTTCTTGGGATCACCTGTTTCCAGCAATTCTCTCTCACAGTCCAGGTTTTCACCTGTGTCAGTGACGGGTTCTTTCTTGATATCACCTGTTTCCATCAATGCTCTCTCACCGTCAGTGATTCCACCTGTGTCAGTGACGGGTTCTTTCTTGAAATCACCTGTTTCAATCAATGCTCTTTCGCAGTCAGTGATTCCACCTGTGTCAGTGACAGGTTCTTTCTTGATATCACCTGTTTCCAGCAATTCCCTCTCGCAGTTCACGATTACACCTGTGTCAGTGACAGGTTCTGTCTTGAGATCACCTGTTTCCATCAATGCCCTCTCACAGTCAGTGAATCCACATGTTTCAGTAACAGGTTCTTCTTTGAGATCACCTGTTTCCAGCAACTCTCTCTTGCAGTCCACGATTACACCTGTGTCAGTGACAGGTTCTGTCTTGAGATCACCTGTTTCCAGCAATTCTCTCTTGCAGTCCATGATAACACATGTTACTGTGACAGAGCCAGGATTCTGTGGTTGGCTCTGTACTTCCATTATTACCTTGTTGATGTTATGGTGTTCACTGAAAACATAAACTTCATCATATTAATGCATTTCTTTATAGATGTTTTCACAAGATCAAGTAGGGCTGGGACCATCCACAGTTTGATAACATGATATGTATCATGATAAAATACCTAATACTGTAAATGTTTTCCCCACATTCAACACACTGATTATATCATAGCACAATGATTTTCCATATCCAGGATTTATCATGCCAGATGTGTGATGTGTAATTATCTTTACAATAACCTCCCACTGAAGTTGGGGTGAAACGATACACCAAGGTCATGATGCATATCACAAATATAGGTTACGATACGATACGTATCTCGCGAGCATTACAAAGTCAAATCACATAGATACTTCTTGACCATATGTCAGAGCAGGTTAGAAAGGAAAAGGTCTCTGTAGACGCATGTTCGTAATGGCTATTTTAGTAGTGAAATTGAAACGCTTATTACAACACTGTAAACATGTTGGGGCTAAATGGCGAAAACGTCACCTCGACTCAAGCAAAAACGGTTCATATTGCCTGGCGATAACGGCCCCACTTTTTTTTTTTACCTTGGTCAAATAAATGATATTAAACTTACGCGGTAACTTGCAAAAACCAATAAGTGAGAGAAGTTAAAACAAGTTTACATTAGAAATTAGCCTCTACTCCAACTATATTCCTTATAAATCGGTGACGTTTTGCTGAGGTGCCGTTTTAGCCTGCACCCGGGCTAAATAAGGAGAAAATGAGGCATAATCGGCGATGTTTGCGTCATCAAAGATGCTACATTAAAGACGCTAAGGGTATGTCATTAATGTGGTCGTTCAATTCTATGCATAATGCATACTATTTCGAGAAAGTAGCGAGTTTCACAAAATATTAACGAACATATCGCTGTTGAAAATGGGGTATGTGTCAAATGTTTACATTTCGCCAATGCGACGATTTCCGCGTCTCGACAGTTTAAATAATGTTTTCCTTCACTAAAACTAACTGTGGGCGTTAATCTCGTCAAGTAGACATACAGCAAATGCCAAGACATTTTTCTAACCATCCGTTCTTGTGCCTTTCTAAAGTAAATAACATAAACAGCTGATACATATGGATGTCGCCATTGTTGATGGAGTCATTTCCAAGCTCCTTCACAGCGCGTGACAACCACATTTATCGCTTGATGGCGCTGCTGTCCCTTCCTAAGCTCCTCACATTGATAAGCTGGGCCCCGTCTTTAATATATACAAAGCTGGTTCCCGGCTCCCTCGCGTGTCGTCCACTTGCGCCAAGCTTGTGAGACGGGGCCTAGACTGGGTACCTGTCTATCTAAACTGGTGAAAATCGCGCTAAACGACAGTGGACCCAGTTTAGAAGGTGTCACGCGCTGGAATGGAGCTTGGCGTTAGCTGAAAAGAGTTGTCAGTCTGAGTTCATGTTTGTAAGACCATGTGCAAGACTTTGTGACTGCTGTTGTGAGCAGAGCCAGAGGACCGTGGAGGTTATAAAACGGTAACTATTCAACAATAAAAGTAATGATATAAAATCTGAAAGCATATTTGCCTGAAAAATATTAGGCTAGTTTGTTTATGAGTATTTTCTGAATTGTTCAGTAGTCAATCAAGCCACCAGCGCGGCTTCAACTTTGAACATGTGTAATATGTGACTATGAACTACGGTATTCAACAATATAAGTAATGATAAGGAAAACCACATCCTTTGACGTTTTACCTTAGCGTTCGCTAGACGTGGACAGCTAGACGCTAGACGTCTTCAGGTCGACCTCGACAGCAGTAGACAGTGTACGTCTGAAGGTTCAGGTTGTGTTATTGTATGGACTTCATAGATCAACAGACTTAATATGGCATTTGAGTGTTCATGGATACCTGACAGAAAAACGGAAAATAACAATGACATCAAAAGGATTGTATTCATGCACAAGACATTAAGAAGAATCAGATGGACTGTTTAAAGGGGTACTAATCTCTTGCTTCTTCTCGGCTGTCTGATGCTCACTAGCTGCCGTGAGTCGATGTGCTCGCTACTGCAACTGAGCGTGACAAGAGAATGTGCTACCATCTGTAAAGACTGCGTAAATAAACTTGGAGGCAAAATGTTTTACACATTTTTGAACACTGATTGGTTACCCATGAGCTATAAAGATTTTGACAAAGGACACATGTTAATTAATTTCTTCAGGTTTACTAAATCAAAGGGAATACACTCATATCAGGGTGTGAAGTGCCCATGTAAAAACAACATACTTTGTTCAAAGGGTTGACCAATAATACGTTGATGGTTTGGTCATTGTTATCTAACTCAAGGGATTTTATTTAAGAACCGTTATGACATTATGAAAATAGTTGTCACATGGGCTTTCTCAGCTGACCTTTAAGATTTGACACCTAAGTGAAACACCTGAAACAAACTAAATGATCAGTTGAGAAATGAACACGGATTATAATATCCCCAAACGATATATATTATTTTAAAATATTTGATTGGTACAGAGACACGTTACATGGAATAAGTTTCTTGTACAGCTGTATATGTGTGGGATATTGTTCCTTTATTTGGATATTTAAGATACATTCCTCAAACAAGGAAGCTGCCTAAAATTATACATATAAATTTGGTAGGTTGTAATTATTATGTCTGCATTTTGTTTTCCTTCATTTGCTGTAGCATTGAACAGATTTATTCTTGTTCCTCTACGCCTTGCTTGGGAAGTTCTTCGATGTGCTATAGATGTTGTTTTCACAAGTCTTTTCCTTTGTAAGCTTCTATAAGTATGATTCTCTCAGGCAATTTATAAAATGTCTGAATAGTTCAGTCATTTTGTCTGAAAAATCTGTCCATTTATTTAACAGATTGACTAAAATGATTAAGACGGTCAAAGGGCTTAAAAACATCACAATAGATTAATGATGCTGGGATTAGAAGCCAAATAATATAGAAATATACTTTAATCCTAATATTTTCAGTCTCTGAGTGATGATATTAAACATAAACATGCTTGGTATTGGTTACCATAATAATACAGATGGACATATTTTTCAGTCAATTTGTGAAATAACTGACTATATTGGCATATAATAAATTTCCTGAGTGAAAAGTTTGCTCATTTTGAATGTAAGAATATAAACACAATAAAATAAGCAATGCTCAGGTGAAATATTTACTTTGTGTTGCAAGTCAAAATAGTGTAAACGAAAATCGCACAATTACCAAGCAAGTGACTTATCCAAACTTACCGATGCTACCCACAAAGATATCTACATTTCCTTATTATTTCCAAAACTGTATTTCATTTTGTTGATCAATGTGACCATACCCCCTTATAATATCAATAAAAGTGACAAATGCGCTTACGAATTGCGCAGCACAGGTCGCGAACTAGTCTAGATTTCTGCTATATCATCCGGGTACTCAAGGTGAAAAACAATACAAAGGCAACAATCAGTTCCGGGGAATTGCTTCAGATCAGTGCCCCTTAAAAAAAGAAGTTTGCAAGACTTATGTCCACTGGTCAGCTGATTGTGAGGATTCTGCGAAAGAGAGAGCTATTTGTTCTGCACTTGCACTGTCAAGGGAGAACCTTTAGAGTACCACCACTTCTTGTGAGGAGGATCTCTGCCGAAGGTGACACGTCTCCAAGACAAGCGACCAGTTTTTGTGAGAATCTGTCTGAAGTGAACTTACCGACTGAGCTTCGTCTACACTGTTAAAATTAGTGTAAATTTGCCTAAATGTACCCAATTTGACATGAACTACTTCATCAGACCTCTGTGGTCTAGTGGTAGAGCAAATCCCCGACAGCGTCATATCTAAAGATGTTAAAAGATTGTAAATGTTACCCTGCTGGGTGCTCGGCTTTAATTGGCGTAAACAAGCACTGGTTGGCTCAGTGTCAGTATATTGCATCGGAGTGTGGTTTTCATGTACTGCAGCATGGTACTTCAGTGGGTAGTGCTATGAACTCGAATAGCACATACATACACACACCACACATCGCTATATAAGTGCAATAATCTTGGACGTTATGTTAAACCCCATAGCAAAATGAAATAGCCATTGTCCTTATAATATGAGCAGTAGACTGATTAGTCATGGTACAGCTTTTAATCAACTGAAAATGCTAAAGACACTTCAGTGTGAGGTTATTGAAAAGATTATTACACATCACACCTCTGGCATGTTACCTACTGGATTTAGAAAATAACAGTGCTATGATATTATCTGTGTGTTGAACGTTGGGAAAACATTTACTGTAATAGGTACCGGGTACTTTATGATGAAGGACAGGGTATATGGTTAAACCAAGGAATTCTGTCCTTCCTTCAGCCCATCCTTCCGAGGAAATTGTTTGGTGTAACCTATAACTTGATAACTACCACATAAAATCTTTTCAAATTTGGTGAAAACTGTTCTATACACTAATACAAATACAATAGGAGAGGTGCAGGGTGAAGTCTGATTTCATTATTTGTTTTTGTTTTAAATTTTTTTATAGGTTTTCTCCATTAAAACATTGTGTTGCCTATAATTGATAACTTGAAAACTACTTCATGGATTATTTTCAAATTTAGGGAACAGTTTGAATACCAATAGAAGAGGTGCAGTGCAAAGTTTACTTTTGATATGTGTATTTATTGACAAAAATATGATTTTTTCATGTTTTGAACTTAAAAATATGTTGGAGTTTAAATAAGTCTGGGATATTAGTGACTCCTGTTTACTTCTCTCTTGTTGGTATTGTTCTTGTGGAAACATCTTTAGGAAATGCATAACATGATGAAGAAAGTGACCACTCCTTTTTGTTTTCAGTGAACACCATAACATCCTCCAGTTACCGGGTAATAATGGAAGTACAAAGCCAACCACAGAATCCTGGTTCTGTCACTGACACATGTGTAATCACGGACTGTGAGAGAGAATTGCTGGAAAGGGGCGATCTCAAGAAAGAACCTGTTGCTGACACAGGTGAAACTACTGACTATGAGAGAGAATTGGTGGAAACAGGTGATCTCAAAGAAGAACTTGTCACTGACACAGGTGAAACCACTGGCTATGAGAGAGAATTGATGGAAACAGGTCATCTCAAGAAAGAACCTGTCACTGACACAGGTGTAATCATCGACTGTGAGAGAGAATTGGTGGAAACAGGTGATCTCAAAAAAGAACCTGTCACTGACACAGGTGTAAACACTGACTTTGAAAAAGAATTGTTGGAAACAGGTGATCTCAAGAAAGAACCTGTTACTGAAACATGTGTAAACACTGACTGTGAGGGAGCATTGGTGGAAACAGGTGATCTCGAGAAAGAACCTGTCACTGACACAGGTGGAAACACTGACTGTGAGGGAGCATTGGTGGAAACAGGTGATCTCGAGAAAGAACCTGTCACTGACACAGGTGGAATCACCGACTGTGAGGGGGCATTGGTGGAAAAAGATCTCCAGAATGAACCTGTCACTGACACAGGTGTAGTCATGGACAACGAGAGAGAATTGGTGGAATCAGATCTCCAGAAAGAACCTGTTACTAAAACATGTGTAATCACTAACTCTGAAAGGGAATTGCTGAAAACAGGTGATTTCAGGAAACACAAAGATTGTGGTGGTCCAACAAAGCGGTCTCATAAGTGTAGTGTGTGCGAGAAAACATTTACACAGTCAGGTAGTCTGCAGACACACATGAGGATTCACAGTGCAGCCAAGCCTTTTCAGTGTGGTGAATGTGGGAAAGTATTTAAACACTCACATAACCTGCAGAAACACATGAGGATTCACAGTGGAGTCAAGCCTTATCCGTGTGTTCAATGTGGGAAAGAATTTACACGGTCACATCACCTGAAGTCACACATGATGATTCACAGTGGAATCAGGCCTTATCGCTGTGTTCAATGTGGGAAAGAATTTTCACGGTCACATCACCTGAACTTGCACATGAGGATTCACAGTGGAATCAAACCTTATCAGTGTGTTGAATGTGGGAACGGATTTAGACGGTCAGGTGACCTGCAGTCACACATGAGCATTCACAGTGAAGTCAAAGCTTATAAGTGTGTTGAATGTGGGAAAGCATTCAGACGGTCAAGTGATCTGAGGTCACACACGAGGACACACACTGGAGTCAAGCCTTATAAGTGTGTTGAATGTGGGAAAGGATTTACACGTTCAAGTGAACTTAAGACACACAAGATGATACACACTGGAGTCAAGCCTTATCAGTGTGGTGAATGTGGGAAAGCATTTAGACGGTCAGGTGACCTGCAGTCACACATGATGACTCACAGTGGAGTCAAGCCTTATCAGTGTGGTGAATGTGGGAAAGGATTTAAACAGTCAGGTGACTTGGAGACACATGTCAGGATTCACACTGGAGTCGATCCTTATCAATGTGTTGAATGTGGGAAAGGATTTACACTATCAGCTAACCTGCAGAAACACATGAGGATTCACAGTGGAATCAAACCTTATCAGTGTGGTGAATGTGAGAAAGCATTTAGACAGTCAAGTGATCTGCAGTCACACATGAAGACTCACAGTGGAGTCAAGCCTTATAAGTGTGTTGAATGTGGGAAAGCATTTACACTATCAGCTAACCTGCAGACACACATGAGGATTCACAGTGGATTGAAGCCTTATCAGTGTGGTGAATGTGAGAAAGCATTTACTATGTCAGCCAACCTACAGACACACATGAGGATTCACACTGGAGTCAAGCCTTTTCAGTGTGGTGAATGTGGGAAAGCATTTACACAGTCAGGAGGCCTGCAGAAACACATGAGGACTCACACAGGCGTCAAGCCTTATAAGTGTCTTGAATGTGGGAAAGCATTTACACGGTCATGTGATGTGCAGAGACACATGAGGACTCACACTGGAGTCAAGCCTTATAAGTGTGATGTGTGTGAGAAAACATTTACACTATTAGGTGATCTTCAGAAACACATGAGGATTCACAGTGGAGTGAAGCCTTATCAGTGTGGTGCATGTGGGAAAGAATTTTCACAGTCAAGTAACCTTCACAAACACACAAGGATTCACTGTGGAATGAATTGATTTAACTTAATGTATTGAAATGTCATAGGTGTAACTCTCTAATGTGTTCATTAGAACTGATAAATGACATATTACAAGTTATTCCTTTAATCCATGCATGGACTTTTGACGACTATGCTGGTCGCACCCAGGGGATTCTGGTTGTAATAGGCCCCCAGTAAACTTTGCTGGTCGCACCCACAGGATCCTAGATATGCTAGTCGTAACAAGTGACGGATTGTCAGACTCGCTGACTTGGTTGAAAACCTGTCATCATCCACCTTCTGTGTGGATGGTTGCTAATAAAATCAATAACTTGATTGTCTGGTCCAGACTTGATTATTTACAGGCAGCCATCATACAGCTGGAATAGTGCTGATTCAAGTGATAAATAACAAAATATATTATTCACCGGCAGACTTGATTATTGCCACCAATTACTTGTCTCCTGTTTATCATGTTTATGACTCTTTGTGTTGATGAGTTTTGTTGATTTTTATCCTCCAGGTTTGTCCATTTTCTGTTTCCGGAGCAGAACTCCTAAACCATTGAATATTCATGTTGAAACATGCTATACTGACCAGTCAAGTGGTGAACTGGTGCCTTTTGATGTTTTGGGATATTGAAGTGGGGTGTAAGTAGCCAAACTCTATTTCCGAATTGCACCAGACTGGGGGCTGATGTCATCTCCTGATGACTCTTCTCTTGTTGTAGTCTTGGCCCTGGTTGGTCTAGGATGTGTTGCAATATTCTTCAGCCTCTTCTGATCCAAGTACCAGGGCTTACCCGTACAGGCAAGTCATTAGTGGTTTAGTGATAGAGAGAGAGCTGAATTTCAGGGTTCGATCCCAGACGCCTCATACCAACAGACGTTAAAAGATGGTACTTGTTGTTACCCTGCCTGGCACTATGAATCAAGTGGCTAAAACAAGGACTGGTCTGTGGAAGTCATTATACTGTGTTGTGAGTGGGGTGTTCCAGGGTTTGTCATCAGTACCTGGGATACCTGTACAGGTAAGTCATTTGCCTCCCGATGGATGTTCCAGGGTATGTCACCAGTACCAGGACTACCTGCACAGGTAGGTCAATAGCCTCCGCATGGATGTTCCAGGGTTTGTCCCTAGTACCAGGACTACCTGTACAGGTAAGTCATTAGCCTCCGCATGGATGTTCCAGGGTATGTCACCAGTACCAGGACTACCTGCACAGGTAGGTCAATAGCCTCCCCATGCATGTTCCAGGGTATGTCACCAGTACCAGGGCTACCTGTATAGGTAAGTCATTAGCCTCGCCATGGAGGTGAGGTGAAATTGGGTTTAACGTCGCGTCCAAGATTATTGCACTTATATAGCGACGTGCATGCACGTGTGTGTGTGTGTGTGTGTGTGTGTGTGTGTGTGGCTGCTTGTACTAGTCTGGACTGATGCCGATTTATAGTGCTAGCTCACTGAGATACCATGCCGCAGTATAACATGAATACCCCACTCAGACACAGTATACTGTCCCCGAGTGACCAGTCCTTGTTTTAGCCCCTTAATGCCGAGCGCCAGACAGGGTAACAACAAGTACCATCTTTTAACGTCTTTTGGTATGACGCGTCCGGGGATCTAACCCCGGACCTTCCGCTCTCCGGGCGGAGCGCTCTACCAGTAGACCACGGAGGTGGTCCCTCGCCATGGATGTTCCAGGGTATGTCACCAGTACCAGGGCTACCTGTACAGGTAAGTCATTAGCCTCCCCATGGATGTTCCAGGGTATGTCACCAGTACCAGGACTATCCTTACAGGTAAGTCATTAGCCTCCCCATGGATGTTCCAGGGTATGTTGGGGCGGTTGGGTAGCCTAGTGGTTAAAGCGTTCGCCTGTCACGCCAAAGACCCGGGTTCGATTCCCGACATTGGTACAATGTGTGAAGCCCATTTCTGGTGTCCCCCGCCGTGATATTCCTGGAATATTGCTAAAAGCGGCGTAAAACCATACTCACTTACTCACTCCAGGGTATGTCACCAGGACCAGGACTACCTGTACAGATAAGTCATTAGCCTCCCGTTGGATGTTCCAGAGTATGTCTCCAGTACTGACCCAGGCTGCTGGTTGTGGTTTTCGCTTTCCAGATCTCTCCTGCCTCTTACATTTGTAGCTTTAGGGTTCGGCTGGTTGTGTTAGGGTTAACCCCACATGTATGAGAGCAGGTCAAAACGGCCTCATGTTAGAACTGCCTCAAAAGGTTAAGTCAAAAGGGCCACAGGAATAAAAAGAGTAAAAACGGCCACAACTCATCATAAAATCGGCCACAAATAAAAGTCAAAAGAGCCTCACAGGAATTTAAGATTACAAACTCAAGTATTTTGTCACAATAAAAACATTGAAAGGTTTCCTCATTAGGATAAAAGTTTATTCATGTTTTCACAAGAGATTGGTACACTCGTCAGGATCATAGTAATTTGTTGAGATGAAACAATGAGGGAGCTCTACTGGAAGAGATTTGATCTACATTGTATTACTAACCTCTGACATGTACTCTGGACACATCCTGCTCACATCCCAGCAAACATATTTCATGCTCAACAATCTGGACATCCTCAAATGTCGAACAAATACCTACTTAAGTTCTGTTCTGTTCGTTGAACGCCGCACTCAGCAATAGTCCAGCTATAATTATTACCGTGGTCTAACTGACCGAGTCTGGACCAGACAATCCAGTGATGAGCATCGATCCGAGTAATTTGGATACGATGATATGCATCAAGTCAGTGGAGGAGCCCCGACCCCGTTAGTCGCCCCTTACGACAAGCACAGTCATCTTTTACGGTAAGCCTGGGTTGCTGAAGATCATCTCAGGTCAATTTCTACAAAAATGGAGGGCAGATTTTTACCTAATTTCAAAATATATTTCGTCAAAGCACTTAATGAAATTTCCTCTGTAAACAGACATGTAGTATATATATGTGTGTTGGGGTGCTTTACTGTCGGTACCTTTGAAATAGCGCGTATACAACACGTCAGAATAAATGTTGAGATGTGTTTGTCCGCATTGTTTCCAATTCGATGTGGAAGACAAGGCTGGGAACCCATAACAGCATATCCTATTACTGTGTCTTTAACTAAGCGGGCGGTCGGGTAGCCTAGTGGTTAAAGCGTTCGCTCGTCACGCCGAAGACCAGGGTTCGAATCCCGACATGGGTACAATGTGTGAAGCCCATTTCTGGTGTCCCCCGCCGTGATATTGCTGGAATATTGCTAAAAGCGGCGTAAAACCATACTCACTCAGTCACTTTAACTAAGCGTTCATTTATTCATTTCCATCGGTATATAATATGACATAACTGATGTATAAGCAGTCTTGTATGTTATGTATATGAAATGTGTTCTAATATATGTGTAGGTTAAAACACGTCAGAAGGTTTTATAAGATTTAAAACACGGATCTTTTTTTTTTATAAAACCGAGGGGCGTAAGCCCCTATGTTTTATTCCGAGGATGAGGGTTTTAAATCTCATTAAAAACCGGGGGGTAAGTGTTCTATCTAGCTAATAAACCGAAAAAGGGTAACTTAAAACCATATTTATCAACATTATATTTTTTCAAACTTTCCGTGAAAATATATGTTGCTGGCGTACGGGTACATTCTTAAAGTATTGTGATTCATCACCGCATCCTTAGCCCAGTGATTTACATCGTGTTCAAATGCAAAATAAATGTCCAGCGGGAAGCATTCATATGTTACAATCAATATAAACGGAAGTTGTAATAAAATCCCGGGGATATTATGACATCTCTGTTTATTCGATTTTAACCCACAAGAGAACAATAGGTTTTATAAGCTCATGTACCACCGATGGTGGTTGTTTCTGAGTATACGCTTCACATTCTTCTCAGATAAAGAAAATCAATACGTCCTGTTTTTTTTGTTTTAATTTCTTTTTTTCTTTTTTTTTGACACTATCATTGACAAGACTCCAACAGAACAGTTAGGACGAGTGACTGAAAAGAAAACACATACAAAAGCGGTCCAATACAATCCAACACAGATAAATAATCTAGCAAAAGAAGTTAATTTGAGCCGTAGAAGTTCTCATTGTTTGTTACCTTGAAAGTTTCTTTTGAACTTAATATTATTTCGGTAGAGACCCATCTTCCCAAGGCAAGGGAATTAACTGACTATAAAAGTTCAGTTTCCACCCTTGCCGAACTGGGCTGGAATTATGAAGTTACTTTTTGATTGGACTAACGAGTCTATGCATAGCCCAATCAAAAACGCGAAACGAAATCGCCATCCTGTTTGTAAACTTCAGATTTCGATCGATTGCAGGATTTACAGGACGTGTGTCGACTGATATTTTCCAAATCTTTTCATGTTTTTAATCAAGTTGCTAAAATTCTTGGTGCACTTTGGAATCGGACTGGTCAGTTGAAAGGACATGGAAAGGGCATAGCTCATAATAGCCATTGGTGGCACTACGATCGAGCCACGAAATTCCAACCTTTTCGGCATGGGTTGAAACTGGACGTTTATGGTCAGTTAACTCCCTTGCCTCGGGAAGATGGTAACACACATGGCCCATATCCAGTCTCCTGAAGAGTCGCCTCCCCGGAGGTAATTAGCGGAACATGGCAAACCAAACAATAATCCGGGCGTAACCACATAGACAGTTTGGCCGTTACATAGAATCCAGATTCCAGATATTTGGCCAACATTGTATATTAACTTCTATTATCCTGCAGTTTTGTTTTATTTAGAAGTTAAAAAACCAACAAACATGCTAGTGACTTATTATCCCCAGCCACGAAGTGGAAGGGGGATATAGGAATGGGTGCCGTCCTTCCGTCCGGCCATCCTTCCGTCCGTCCGTCCGTCACATTTCGTTTCCGGAGCAGATCTTGAAAACCGTACCATATTTCTTCACCATACTTGGCACATAGATAGGTCTAGTGGTGAACTGGTGCCTTTTGATAGTTTGGGATTTTTAAAAAAAGTTATTTTTTGAGTTTCTATGGCAACGACTTTGATTTAGACTGAAAATGGCGGTAGTCCTCGTTTCCGGAGCAGATCTTAAAAACCGTACCATATTTCTTCACCAAACTTGGCACATAGATAGATCTAGTGGTAAACTGGTGCCTTTTGATAGTTTGGCATTTTTAAAAAAGTTATTTTTCGAGTTTCCATGGGAACAACTTTGATTTAGACTGAAAATGGCAGTAGTCCTCGTTTCCGGAGCAGATCTTGAAAACCGTACCATATTTCTTCGTCATACTTGGCACATAGATAGGTCTAGTGGTGAACTGGTGCCTTTTGATAGTTTGGCATTTTTAAAAACAAT